CTCAGACTAAACAGCCCCAACTCCCTCAGCCGCTCCTAATACGATTTGTTTTCCAGCCCCCTCACCAGCTTCGTTGCCCTCCTCTGCACTCGCTCCAGCACCTCCAGATCTCTCTTGTATTGAGGTGCCCAAAACTGGACACAATACTTGAGTGTATACTGGTTCCTCCCAGTCCTGGCTGCTCTTGGACCCAGCACCGCAGAAACCCAGTGGATCATGCTCCCTCCGTTTCTTCCCTGCTTAACGCCTGTCTTACTGAAAGAAAAATCAATGGCATGCAGGGTAGTGAGAGCAGGTCTCAGGGGTGGAGTATCTCGCCGGCACGGTGCAGATAGGCTGTCGATAATCCCACTCTGAGCCGCTTTGCCCAACAGCCACCGAAATACTAATGGGGGCTGCTGCCGCTCCAGCGCGGGCGTTGGCATCCAGAGCTTCATTCGCCTTAAACTTTGCTGTTGTTGTTGCATTTAATAATGTCAGCTTTTGCCAAAGTCCATCCTTTGGAATCGTAGAATTGCTGAGGTTGGAAGGGACCTTTCAACCCCTCCGTGGTCTCTCAAGAAGCAGGTCCCCACTCAGGGATGGGTTTATGCCCCACCACCAGCATCCCCACTCCACAATAGCTCTTCCCCCTCATGCTTCCAGTGATGCCAAGGGCTTTGCTGAGGGGGCTCAGGGCTGTGCCCCCCTTGGGGAACCACAGCAAATCACCCACTAACCCACTGGGATCATGCAGAGACGACTTTGCTCATTACTCCCCCAACACAACATTGTGGGTTGCCACAAAGCCAATGGCCAAAAAATGGGACCCCTCATGTACTTATGGTTAATTTGCCCCTCTCTCTCCTTCTTGGGGGTTCATGGCATCCTGGCTTTGGGGTCCCCATCCCCAGCCTCGTGCCGGGTCCGGAGCAGCCCCGGGGTGGGAGCGGCGGGGCCAAGCCATGCGTGTCCGCCACAGGGACCAGCCCGGCTCGGCCTGAATGGCTCAGGGCGGCCATTGTCATGGGTGAATTTTCTGAATGAGCAAATCCTCATTAAAAAATAATTAAAACAGCCTGGTGAGATTGGCTTAATTCCTTTCATTTTGACTGATGGTGTTTAGTTTTGATGATTTATGTGCCACAGCCTTGCCAGCTCTCTTGCTTTCATTGTTGGAACTCATGGGATTTCATGATTTTCTTTCTTCCACACCTCCTTGAGTCATGGGATTACAGCTGAATCTCAGCTTTCTTTTTTTTTTTTTTTTTCCAATGACTATTATTTTTAAAGATGCATTCCAGGCTGGTGAAATAAACTTGAAAGCCTGACACCTAATGACTCAGGAAGCGAGAAAAAAAAAGAACAGAGAAATTGCTCACTTCCTGCTTGGGGAGGGTGGTTTGTGACCCCTTGATGTCGTTTGGGTGCTGACGGAGGCGGTGGGGTCTGCAGTGGTGGGGTTTGTGGTGGTGGGATCTGTGGTGCTGGGGTGTGTGATGATGGGGTCTGCAGTGGTGGGATCTGTGATGATGGGGTCCACGGTGATGGAGTCTGCAGTGGTGGGAGCTGTGGTGGAGTGTTCTACCATGATGGGACCTGTGATGGTGAGGTTTACAGTGGTCAGTCTGTGGTGGTGGGGTCTGAGGTGGAGTAGTTCTACTGTGATGGGACCTGTGATGGTGAGGTCTACAGTGGTGGGGGGCCTGTGGCAGTGGGGTGTGTGATGATGGGGTCTGCAGTGATATCGTCTGTGGTGATGGGATCTGCAGTGATGGAGGTCTCTGGTGACGGTGGGGTCTGCAGCAGCACCCTCCTCTCCCACCCCATCCAGCCCAGCTGGACCACGCTTGCAGACATGGCCTTAGCACATTTAAAAGTGCCAGTTTGTCAAGTCCCACTGTATAATTAAACCTGTCCTTCTCCTGAGCTCCTTGCCACCACCTCCCCTCCAGCATCCTGGTGGCACCAGGCTGGCCATGGCCTTGTGGGCACTATGGCTGGTGATGGGATCTGCAGTGATGGAGGTCTCTGGTGACGGTGGGGTCTGCAGCAGCACCCTCCTCTCCCACCCCATCCAGCCCAGCTGGACCACGCTTGCAGACATGGCCTTAGCACATTTAAAAGTGCCAGTTTGTCAAGTCCCACTGTATAATTAAACCTGTCCTTCTCCTGAGCTCCTTGCCACCACCTCCCCTCCAGCATCCTGGTGGCACCAGGCTGGCCATGGCCTTGTGGGCACTATGGCGACGGATCCTGCCTGGCACAACCTGGGTGGCTCCAGGTTTTGTGAAACCACCTGGGTCTGCAACATCTCTGGAAGGGGCAAGGCACGGTGGGGAGATGGGGCTGGAGGTGCCTGGGCTTTTCTCAGCCCCCTGCACGCTCCTGCTCGGGAGAACCAACAGCAGAAGGGGCTCCTGCCATCACCTGCAGCCGTTTGGGTGCCGGGTTAAGGCAGCGGCCGCGGCCCTTGGAAATGCCCTTGGTCTCTGCCTGATGCTTTTGTTCTGCGGGGCTGCAGGTGGGGAGGCTTTGAACCGTGTGAGAAAGAGCTGGCTGCCAAAGAAAAGCCTCTCCCGCCGCCCTCGCAGCCCCCTTCTCCTGCACCCGGCGCCGCTGAGCGCCCTTTCAGCTCTGAATGGGGACGGCGGCGCCTGAAAGGCCGTGCCCCCCGCCATCCCCGTCCCCCTTTGTCTCTCCCTCTGCTCGCCACCCCCTGCCCCATCCGTCTTGCCTAAACCTCTAAGGCCCCCGCAAGGCTTCAGTGCCCCCTTTCACTCGTCATTTGTTACCAAATAAATATGGGTGATTAAAAAGGGATCAGGAGTCCGTGCGGTTTGCAGAGGTGCCTGGAAGGTGGAGTCCCTCCTCTGTGTAGCCCATGGCTTTTCGCCCTACATGAGTTAGGAAAAGCAATCACATAGGAATAAAAAGCCATAGACCACAGCAGAGGGCTTACCCAGGATAAGCCAGCAGTCTTTGGGGAAAGAAAAGGAAAAAGGGAAAGGAGGCGGGAGGGAAAGGAACCCCTCTAAGTTGTCCTCCCTCCCCAACTGGGAGCACGACTCGCTCCATCCCTGCACGGGGACTGCAGTCCCCCAGCTTGACCCTCCAAAAACAGGGGCATCTCCCACCCAGAACACCCCTCAGCACTGCAGGTCGGTTATTCCAGCTTTACTCCCAGGTCAGGAAGGTGAAAAAGCCAAACCTGCCACGTCTGTCCCCTCAGCAGTAACCTGCCAGCGCGGTGGCTCGACCCCGGGAGGTGACCCCACACCCTGCCCTTTCCACTCCCAACAGCGACGAGCTGAGATTGCAGGGACAACAGGCTCTTGCAGCAGGGGAGATGTTTAAAAGACAACATGCCACAGCCTGAGTCAATGGCAGCACGCCCAAGGCACAGGCAAGGAAATGGTTTATTTGCACTCTCCCAGTGTCCTGGCCACAGCTACACCTTATCTCTGTCAGCAGGGTGGCATTCCCCAGCGCGGCTTTTTGTGCCGCTTCTAAGGATCCCAATAAACCTGACAAACCTCGGGTTATAAACCAAATAGCCACTCTATCTGGTTCCCAGTGGAGCAGCACAGATTTACACCAGCAGCCCAAGTGTCCCTTACACCCTGCTCTTCATCAGCCGCTTCCCTTCCCTGCAGCCCAGGAGCCCTCGGGGTGAATCCCTTCTGCAAGCCAGGGGGGGAGAGCGCTCACCTTGGGGTAGAGCTGTCCCCTGTCCTGGGGCTGTTTGGAAAAATCTGACCCTTTGGGCCACCGAGGGACTTGCCCACAGTCTGGGAGTCACTCCAGAACTGGGAATCGAAACCTTTCCCTGGTCCCCACGGCCCCCACAGCTCACCTGGCTGCAGAGGCGGCGGATGCTCGGCGGCGGCGAGAGGTGCATCCAACAGACCCGCCTTTGTCGGCTGAGACAAAGGGCTAAAGAAAGGTCTGGCTGCAAACCCGCCTCCCCCCCTGCTTCCCCCGCTGCTGCCTTCCCCTGCCGCCTTTTCGGGGGAGCCTCCGTCTCCGCACCCACAAAAGAGGCCTCTCGGGACAAGGTGAGCTGCTCCAGCAGCTCCTCCCAGAGTCAGACACAGACCTTACCCCTGAACCTCTGCACCTCCCAGCACCTGGGGGGGCTCCTCCAACACCAAAACCGCCCAGGTTCTCCCTGGGAAAGCGCTGGCCTCTGCCTTTATTCTCTTCCCCTGCCAGGACGTCGGCTCGTTCAGCAACAGTGACTGCTAATTGCCAGGAGCTGATGAGGTCAGCTCTGCTATTGAGTCGAGGAAACTCCCTTTCTTGCTGCCCTAGCAAGAAGCCTTGGGAAATTCAAGGTTTCTAAAGCCATATACAGCAGCCAGGTTTGGAAGGAGGAAGGATTTCGCACCCTGCGGTTTGTAATAGCAGTGAACGTGGCTTTGACCTACAAACCCAACTTCTGAAGCAGGCGGGTGGCTCTGAACTGGCGTTTTCCCAAGGTCTTTCCTCTTTTAACTCCCATATCTGAATAGCAAGGAATAAAGGCCACCGTGTGTCCCACCTTCCCACAGGGTCACGCTCCCTTTCTGGCCCCTTCGCTCCCCAGGATGGTGCACCCACGGGGAGCCCGACCCACCAAGCTCTTCAGGAGCATCATTCAGCCCTGGAAAATACCCTGGGCACTGCATGCCCACCAGGAGCCCCCCCCATGGGTCCCTGCCCCCCAGCTCTGGCACCAACCCACCCCCTGCTCCCAGGGGTGCACTAAGGAGCCAGCCCCACTCTCGTTGCTCATCACACATTCAAAGGGTAAATCTGTCAAGCCAAACTGAGTGGCTTTTGGGGATGTGGCTCTGCTTTGGCACCCAAGAGACCTTCCCAAGGAGGTTGCACCCAACTCAAGGCAGCTCCAGTGCCAGGCTGGATCCCCAGCTTCGGAGTACGATGGCACATGCCCGTCTGAGAGCCACCAGCCCCACACTGCACCGCAGGGACCCGAGGAGAGCCCAGAGCCACCAGCCGAGCGCGTCTGACCTCACCTTTGGCAGTGCGGCATCCTCTCCACGGGAAGGGCACGACGCCAGGGGCTGGGGACGGCAGCCACCGCGGCATCACCCACACCATCCTCTCCTCCCCACGCCACCATGGGCCACCACCAGCCAAACCCGGGTGCTGCAGGGATGTTTGGCCCAGTGCTGCATGCAGGTTACAACCTCCCAGCCCCAGTTGGCTACTGGGGAAGGTCGTATTTTTGAAGCCCGGACCCCTCCGTTGGTGGCTGCTCCTGCTGCTGTCCCCACGTCCCCACCAAGCCTCGCTGCACGGTCACATACTTGGAATGGTTGTGCACCAAGGGGCCGGAGAGGAGGGAGAGAGGGAGGGAGGGAGCGGGGGTCAGGTATTTCTCCATCCCCAGCTCCAGAGAGCCGGTAACAAAGGCGCTATTGAACTGCAGCCTCTCTGGTCTGTGAAGCAGAAACCTCTTGTATCTACTTCACTGCCTTTGATCTAACTCCCCCAGTGGGATGTATATTACTCATGTCCTGCTGCTCGGGTACTGCTGCCAGAGCGGGACGGGGGGGGACAAGTCCCCACTCACCACCCTGGGTTTGGGAAGCACCGGGCAGGGGCACCCGGCATCCATTTCCAATGCCAGCCTTCCCTGTGGTCCCTCTATCCCCCGTCCCCCAACACCACCACCCTCCCGGACCCCAAAAGTGGGGGATACGTGCGGGAGCCCAGGGCTCAGCCGAGCGGAGAGGCGGGAGGAGCAGGGCTCTGCGCCTCACATTCCTCTTCTGTAATTAAAGCCGGTGCGCTGGGTGGAGGGGGAATTTCCCAAAGGGTTTTACTGGCGTCTGGACAAGGGTCAGACAATGAGAACATTTGACAGGGTGCCCAAATCCGCTGTATCTTGGATACGCTCAAAGCCTCCCCCGTGCTGTCGGTCCCAGGCGCTGGTTTGCCGGAGGTGGGGGCTGTTTGGGCAGGTTGGGAAAGGTGGGTGGGAGCTTGGGGACTCTCTCACCATGTCCCCACAGCCTTCCCCCCAGCCAGGCTACCCCAAAAGTGCAAAAGCTTGAGCAGCCCCAGCTTGCTCTGAAACCACGTCCCCACCGGGATCCCTCAGAAAATCCTGGGTAAAGGCATCAAAAGCACCTTAGAGACTCACAGCACTTGGAGCGGTGCTTTAAAAAGTCCTTTGCTGCCATCAGCAAGCTCCCTGCCACGCTCCCTCAGGAGCTGGGGGCACTTGGGGCTTAGCCTGGTTTTGCCAGTCCCGGGGGAGCACTGGGATGCCGTGACAACCTGGCTGGAATTCATCCCAGCTACCCAAAAGCACTTGAGTGCTTTTGGAAATCTTATTCTCCTGCCTTTCCAGCTGCTTTGCAGAAAGCCCTGAGCCTGGCAGCTCCCAGAGAAGCATGTGTGGGCATCACCTTGGGAGCAGGCAGGTCCCTGGGGTGCCCACATGACAGTGCCCAAAGTGAGAGTCCCCAAAATGACAGCACTAAGGGAAGCCTCCCTGGAGCCAAGGGCTCTCCATGCTGCTTCCCCTTCTCCTTCTCCCAGGGCTCATCCCTTCCTTCCCTGCCCATGTCTCAGGTTGGGGGAGAGGTGAGACATGGCTGCCCCCATCCCAGCTGCAGGGTGGGGGGAAATAATACACACCCCACAACTGAAATGGAAAGGATGGATGGATGGACTAATACTGAAGAACAGAGACCTGCCAAGCTGGGTACACCTAAAGGATTTCCTTTTCCCCAGGGATCTATACTCTTGCAGCCCAAGAAGGTGCAATCAACCTCTTTTTTAGGGGACCATCAGCAGTTCCCCCCCCTCTCTCCCCAGCCACAGGCTGGCAGGACATGCGGGACCCAACTCTTGTTCAGTTTTTCAGCATGAACTATTAGAACTTGGGGAGCAGTTGAAGTCAGAGTTGGGCAACGATCCATTTCCAAGCTGTCTTGACAACTGGCTCCAGCACAGCAAGATTAGATCTACTAATCACATTTATAAGGCGCCCAGGATCATGAATTGGGTATTCGGAGAGTATTTGTCATTGTAACAATGTCATTTCCCAGCCTTCAGCATGCATTACCTTGTCCTCCAAGCTGTTACGGTTGGGCTTTTTCTTGCTTTATAGAAACATCTACTTGGAGAAGAGGAGGCTCAGGAGCATTTGTTGTGCCGGTGCTCTCTACAGCTAAAGGCACACGCTGTCTGTCACCCGCATGTCCCACGGATGGGGTAATACTGGGGTTATTTATGGGTTTTAATCAGCTTTCTCATCACCTGATTGTGTATCGATAGCTGCTTTAACAAACAGATGCAACCCAAATCTTTCCCCAATGCTGTATAAATCCCCCAGCTCCTGCAGGCGATAAAAGGGGAGGTCAGGTGAGGTGGGAGACAGCCCGGATCGGGCACCGCATCCTTAATGGTGAGCTCAGGAAAGCTGCACAGCCCTCTCTCCCCATTGCTGCCCCACAGAGGGGGGCTGACACCGAGACCCCACTGTCGACAGCCCCCTTATCCTGCCAGAACGGGGGGATGTGCTCAACCCACCCGTTTGCAGCAGCCACAGCCCCGCGTGAAGGAGAGAGTAGACAGAGCCCAGGCTCCCTGTGCAGGAGGCACCAGCAGCCCCGGAGAAACCCACAGCCTCAGGAAGGGCCAAAATAGTCCTGATTTTTGCAGGTGGGCACTCAATCGCACGCTGCTTTCAAGAGACAGAGTACAGCTTAAAACTGGTCCCATTTGTTCTAAGGAGAGAAAAGAAATCCTTTCATTTTCTGGCCACTTCTTCACTTCGCTTTACATCCCTAGGGATGCTCAGCCCATCCCTCTCCAGAAGAGCACACATTGCTCCCCCCGACACCCTGGCAGCCCATGGGATGTGTTTTCCCCTTCCAGCAGGTACCAGTGCTCCAGGACCTGGTTTTCCCTAACTCAGGGATGTGTGTAGGGAAAGGGGGGCTGGCAAGGTGCTGGGGGGGACAGGATGTGCAGAGCTGGGCTCCGGCTGCCCCGGCACAGCTCAGCTCGGCACCGGGCTCCCACAGGACTGGCTTTTCCATGGGTGCCTGAGGTTGCTTTGGAGTGCAGAAATATTCTTGCTGGAACAGGCAAGTTTGAGCCGGGAGGAATATTCTGCAAATCCAGTTAGTTTGTACCCGTTGGCTTTGGGTACAAAACCAGCTCTGAGAAGTTGCAGCTGTTCCTTCCCACTTTTCCATTTGGAACAGCGTGCCTCTTCCAGCTCTCCTTCATTTTTACTGAGAATACGTATTTTAGGTGACTGGAAACGTAATGAAAGTTTTTTCTCTGGGTGAAACAGAACGTTCTCCAACCCTAGATGATTTTTTTTCCTCGTCTTGCTGAAAAAAACTTTAAATAAATTCATTTTGGCTTGACCCCTCGGTGCTTCTGTGCTCTGCAACCCAATGACTCAATCCTCAGCAGAGATCTCACACCTGAACCGAGCTGCCCTTGGTGGGGCACGTCTGGCCATGGGAACCCCAAGACCATTACTTGTGTGTCCCAGGTCACAGCCCATATGATGCTGCTGAACCCCAAAGCTCAGTCCCACCACACTCCGTGGAGCGTTGCTGTTTCTTCCAGCTTAATTTTCCAAGGTGGAGGGATGAGAGAGACAGAGAGAGGGAAGGGTCGAGATAATGACCCAGATCTGTTCCTGCAAACTAGCCATCAATTTGCCACCCAGCCCATTAAGAGAGGGCAAACACAACTCAGGAATCCAGGTAAGTCACTCACTAACGAGATCCTCCCGGGCCTTTTAGCACATTCCTGGTCACAGATATTTCAGCTCCCGCAGCCCCAGCTGTAATTAAGGCTGGGCTGGGAGGCAGGAGATGCTGCAGAAGCTGGAGGGGGGGGAATCTGTCTCGGTTTGCTGGAGCAGCACAGGGCTGACGAGGGATGGTGTCCCCAAGGCTGGTCCCTTGCTGGGAGGGGCAAGCACTGGCCCCCTCAGGCTTCTGGCAACTCAGAGTTGGTAAAGGAGGGAGAGGGAAAGTTCTGGGCTGATGGGGATGGCTCAGTGATGAGGAGCGACTAGGGCAGAGGGAACAAAGAGATGGAGGAATTAGAGGGGGAAGGTGAGGAAGAGCCCCATGGGGGCACAGGGACACTTTGTCCAGAGGTAGAAAGTGAAGGCAGGATGACCATCACCTCTACACCAGCCCTTTCGCCTCCCCTGGGGAGCCACTTCCCTGGGCTCAAACCTGCCTCAGGTGACTCCAGGGACATCACCCTGGGCACAAACTCAGGAAGAAAAGAGATCAATCCATCTCCTACCATCATAAATCAGGGCCAAATCCACTGATTACAAGCCATGCTGAGGGAAGTGGACCTGCTAAGGTGTCCTTCCCCTCCCATCGCAGACCGGACCCCAAACCCCCTCTGCAAGCGCTTCACCATCACACACACAAGCTGAAACAGTTCCTCCAAAGCCACAGAGCTGGTTCCCTGCTGGGCCAGGAGCAGAGACCTGAGCCAGCACTCAAGGGGGGGTTCACACCATGGCTTTGCACCATGTTTGAAGAAGGTTTAACCACCCCTATCCACTGAGGCTCAACCAAGAGAAATCATGACCTCCTTTACCAGCACTGCTGCCCCACACTGCACGGATCCCACTGACCCCCCTGACTTTACCTGTGTGTGTAATGGAGGATTCCTGGCAGATATTCCCATCTGGGCTGTCCTGTGGAACCCTGTCTGGCTGCAATGCAGGACATTAGTGTGCTTCCCACTGGGGATTCCCCTCTGGATGCATGAGTGAGGCCAGTAGGACAAGGCAGATAAAGGCAGGGATACTGGCAGAGCCGTGGGGGTGGGTTCACCCTCCCCATGTGCTCCTCATTTCTGTCTAGAGAGGATTAGCCACAGCTGGGGTGACTGGGATGGAATCGGGATGGGTTGATGGTCTACCCCCTCTGCAAGCGCTTCACCATCACACACACAAGCTGAAACAGTTCCTCCAAAGCCACAGAGCTGGTTCCCTGCTGGGCCAGGAGCAGAGACCTGAGCCAGCACTCAAGGGGGGGTTCACACCATGGCTTTGCACCATGTTTGAAGAAGGTTTAACCACCCCTATCCACTGAGGCTCAACCAAGAGAAATCATGACCTCCTTTACCAGCACTGCTGCCCCACACTGCACGGATCCCACTGACCCCCCTGACTTTACCTGTGTGTGTAATGGAGGATTCCTGGCAGATATTCCCATCTGGGCTGTCCTGTGGAACCCTGTCTGGCTGCAATG